TTTCCACATCTATGGCCCTCATTGAACTGCACAGGCTGTCATCCGGGAGTGTATTGCCAAAAGTGCTGCGTGTGTACATATTCTCATATTCTATTATTATCATCACTGACGGCGATTAATTTCAGCCGGGTCTGTCTGATACCGTGACTGGAAAAGTTTGTTCCAAAACCAACACACCACATCCAGTATACACAGGGGCGGAGCCAGGGGGGGGGGGGGTGACAGGGGTGACATTCTGCGTAAAAGTGTACGACACTCGGTCTGGCGGACTCCGTGCCAACTGCATTGTCAGAGCGTGTGTCGCCAACCGATGGCGTCTAGTTCAACAGCCTGACTCTCTAAACATTCGTGAAATTAAAATTTGTTGAATGTCACCCCGGCCTGAAATCCTGGCTCCGCCCCTGAGTATACACCTCGAGATGGCTTTGGCTATCTCTTCATCACGTGCCGCCTACGCCAGTCTACCAGCGACGTGACAAATATTGGGATATGAAGCCCTGCTGCGTGGTACAGGGCCTCCTCTACTTACGAACGAGTTAGGTTCCAGAGGTCTGTTCGTCAGTCCATTTGGTCTCAAGTCCAACTTTACTCCTGTCGAATCCAGACATGTTGTACGGCGTGTACACTAACCACAGGGAATGGCTTTAAAAGTTGTATAATCTCCTGCAGATGTAGACGCCACCTCCGTCATCTGTTGTACGGTGGTTGAACTTAAGACTCTCGGTCCGCACAGGCGGCTGGACATACGGACAGGTTTGTTCGTACCTCTGGAAGTTCGTAAGTCGAATGTTCGTAGGTAGAGGAGTCCCTGTATTGGTGTTCTGGTGTACCGACACAAATCGTCAAATGCCGAAATTGCTCATGTACACAAGAGCTGCCTTCCCCAAAACAAACAAAGACCCTGAACACCCCCCCCCCTCATTACTCTGCCCCCCCCCCACGCCCCCCCATCCAAAACCCTGAGCTATTAAAAAAACACCTTAGGGGCACGGAACGTTTCCCAGAAAGGCCAACAGCAACATGGCAACACCCCGTGCCACAACAGCCCCTTCCCGCACCGGCTTTCCACGCGTGCCACTCAACACAGGGGCTACGGCTCAGCACTCTTCCCGCGCGGTGTGACAAAGTGCGCTACTGCAGGGCTTGCGTCTTTGCCCGTCTAACGGAGGAACGAGGGCAGACGATGTGCCGACCCGGTGACATAGACGCCGTGCCATTTGTACGATTGTGAGTGCAAATCGGTGTCTTCAATCATCACTAAAATTCCACTGAGGTCGGACTATGGGAACGGTTAACCGGGCTTACCCAAGTTGTCAACTCACAAACACTAATTCTACAGACACACGGCGTTCGATTCACGTGCACCATATAAAATGTCGTGTCCTTCCCTAAAAAAATAACAAAACGAGACAATAATTATCCTGCGTAAATCTGTATTGCCACGTAAAAATTTAAGGATTTTTTTTGTTTGCAAGAACCATCGGTGCATAATTGCACGTGAATTTCAGCAGCTTTGATTCAATACAAGAAAACACTGGGCCGAATTCCACACAGACACACACGGTGTCTCATCAGTGGAGTCGGCTCTAATTAAGGACCCTGTTTTTAAGATTAAGGGTCCAAGTTTAACTCAAAATCATAAAAAAATTATTAGAGTCATTCATTGTGGAGAATGTAAATAAAACCATAGATATTAAGGGGACGTATTGTCTCGACTTATCGACTTAAAGCTTTCGTGACTGCAGGAATTAATATTATTGGGTCTTTCGGTAAAGTCACCTAGATAGGTTCAAAGAAAATAATAAAAAATAACAGAAAACTACGACGTTTCGATCGCAACACAAGCGGTCGTCTTCAGGAAAAAGACGACCGCCTGCGTCGCGATCGAAACGTCGTAATTTTCTGTGATTTTTTATTATTTTCTTTGAACATATCTACGTGCCTTCACTGAAAGACCCAAGAATAGGGGACGTATTGTCTTATTATTTATTTGACAACTGCATAGTTTAGCTGAGCAACTGACAACACAAATAAGTAACGTCTCCACCACATACCCGTCCCTTCACGTAAAAAAATAAAAGTAACTCTTACACGACCCATCATCCTCCGCACGACCTTCCCAGAGCGGCATTGATTCAACGCGAGCAAAAACTCTGGACTGGAATTCGACACAAATTGTCCCTTCGCCAGCACAGTAGGTTTTTCTCGGATCACATTATTTCCCATAAAGCTAGCGGCCCCACAGAGTATAAGAGAGGAGAGGTGGGGGGGTCCTTGTCCGTAAGTTGGGCAGCAGTTCACCGAGCAAGCCCGCCACTGCTGATGAGCCACTTGTGCCTAAACCGGTCCAGAGTTTTGCCTGTGCTGAATGAATGCTGCTGAAAATGAGGCCCTTCAATAATTTAGGTCTTTTTTTGGGTTACATCACGTAGTGTGGGCCAGTTGCATGGAGCTATCGTTGAGAAGAGTTCACGTAAACGGGGACACGCAGCCCGCACAGGATGAACCACTCTTATTTTATAGATGCTAAAATGGACTGTTTGACCTGGTCTAAAATGGGTTTGAAACTTCGTTAATGATAATTTTTATTTAAAGTCACTTTCAGGATGGCAACCATTGTACCCACTGGGATTTTTTTAACACAGCGTTGATGTACGGTGCTTTTTCAGGAATATTTTGCTGTTTTTTTTCCTGGATTTTCTGTTTGCACAAAGTCACATAGTCACTTTAAGATGTTTTCTTGTTCATGTTTTTTGTTTGTTGCGGTTGCACCCGATTCAAGAGCCGAATGGCTCACAGGGCTATACCAAATAAATGAAAACTAAAAAAAACTAGCTATAAACGTGTCGTTAAACCCGCCACCACCCGACACAACCAATTAGTAAGGTTTGTCAGGTAAACAGAACGTGCCAAATGGTTACTAGGACAGCACACCGGTGTTTTTGGAGAGCAAATCCACAATATTTACAATGATGCGCTTCCCAGGAGGCCGTGCGGCTGATGGGGATATGGAGGAAATAAATTTAGCAGGCGTCTGCTTATTAATTATTTTTATATTCTCCACAATAAAGCGTGCTTATGATTATTTTGAGTTGCCATATTGACGGATTGTTCGCGCGCGAGAGACAAGCCCCTGATTGGTGTCTTACAAAGCGCACACACACGGAGGATCAGCAGTAGCAGCAACACACGAAACACTGCGCCCTCTAACGCAATTCAAAGGCCAGTCCACACACACACACGGAGCAAACAGCAAATAAGCGTTGACGGAACAATACGCGGTCTGGACAAAGAAGGGCGACCACCCTCCAGCCACGTGTGCTGCTGCTCCTGCTCTTGCAGCAACATCCAGACATTTAAAACGAGGGTAGAACGGCAACTTTTACAAACGGTCAATTCACCCACGAGGCCACGATAAAAAAAATCCACTTTGCTGGACGGAGACAGCAACAACCACGTGGGCGAGAATTGTACGGCACACGCAAGAAAACATCACAACATCAACAACAACAGCAGCAACGAAATGCGTAGAGTTAACTTTTTTTTAACCGCTCTACCGCGTGGGTGGTCCTTTTGAAATATGCGGTGGCGTTGGGACGCGATATGAGTGACTCAACTAGCACGATCGATCAGCCGATTGATCGATCGGTCGGAGCCAAACCCATTTGAATGAAGCCTCGAGTGCGGAGAATGCTTGTATGCAATCCAGCGCGATCTGCGTATACCCTGGGTAAATGATATGGAGCGATTCGTTAAAGAAAAACGTTCTAATTGTTGATCGTTACGTAATCTCCACGCGCACACGCGCGCGTCGTAGCAACAATCTCAAGGTAAGTGTGCGCGAGTTGGGATTGTATTTAGGACTGTGGTATAGGGACTTCTCGCCCACCCTATACCTACCACTATTAAGGGTACGCGTACAGAACAGATTTTCAGGCTGTGATATATAAGGGGCTCCACTCGCCTGTCTTATACCGGCGAGAAGTCCCGATTTGTTCCTACTTACTGCATGTACAGCACTGTACACACGTGACCCACGTGTGTGTTACACAAACACTTGGGAAACGCACACATTGGGTGAGGAGCGGTCGTGTAGTGGTTAGCGCTACGCTACGAACCTGGCGACCCGGGTTCGATTCCCGCTCACGGCCAATACCCAGTGACGATTATCTGAACCGATCCTGGACCTCCCCGAGGTCGACTCAGCCTCAAATGAATACACCTGGTGCGGTGTGTAATCATCGCCACTGGGGAGACAAAGGCGGCCGGGCGTGGTGTTGTTCCACCCACCCATTTCGTGTGCCGTGCCGGCCTTCACCGGTGCTCGCTAACAGCACTTGCCCCAACAGTCTGTTAAGGCTACACGGGGGATCTTTGTAATTTGTTCCACTAGCATTGCTGGTAACATCAGAACCAGTTCTGGGCCTCTCCTAGGTCAAGTTATCTTGAAGTATAAAGTACATTCATGCACATCGCGCGAATGGTACTGCGTAGGGTGGTTGCGACTTTTAAGTACAAATCTGTAAATGACGAGAAAAATCTTCAACACGACGAATTTTTTTTTAAATGACAATTTTAAAAAACCCCACCAACTACAACCTTGCTGTGTGTGTGTAAACCACGTAACAACACTGCTGGGAGCAAAAGAGGGGCGGCGACCAGATGTGGTTCCTGGCCACAAACCTCTTCTGAATGGGTTATCTCCCACGAGCATCGACTTGATGTCTCTAACCGGTCTGTTTCTGTAAAAATGTATCAACAAATATTCCTTTGGGTCATTCGGTAAAGTCACGTAGATGGGTTCAGAGCAAATAACAAAATAGTTGTGTGGAATCCCTCCCCCCGTAGAAAGCGGTTAAAGATTGAAGAACATGAATTCCTGCAGTCACGAAAGCTTTACGTCAAGATTCATCAACAAATGTTCATCACGACGGGATGGTGGGAAGGATGGAGGTTGTGTAACCTTCAGTGCGCGTTATTGACGCGAAAACAGCACTCACCAGCATCGTGTCATCCCAGCTGCAACCATCTCGCCACCGCTCCATTGTTGAGTGAGTCCAGGCAAAAGCCTCCAGCGGCAGCAAGGGACTTGTCGGGGTGGAGGGTACAAGGGGGACACCCTGGGTAGTTAAAGAGGAGGAGGAGGTACAGAGATCCGGGGGTTGCAGTCGGCCACCCCCAGGGGCCGAGACCCTCCGAACTGGGTCACCTCATGGCCCCGGGAGAAGTTGGAGCAGGCTGGTAGGGAGGGGGGTGGGGACCCCCCTTTTCTCGCTCCCGTGAGAAGGGGATCGCCTTCACGCAAGAAGAAGGGATGAGATGTGGAGGGTGGTGCGACTTGACTCTTCTTCTTTCTGCGAAGAAGATCCGTGACCCGATCTCAGCGGGAACAATGTGCAAACTGCCACGCCACCACTCCTCCTCGCCGCCGCTTCCTCCTTCTCAACTCCTTCTCAAAGTTTGTTCTACATTCAATTAGCTATCGCGTGGCTGAAGCGTCGTTGTTAGTGAATCAATCTGTTTGTCCGGTTGTAACGCAGTGTTGCTGCAGGCTATGGGCGCCCACGCTGTATATACACCAATCCGGTTGTTGATGAAAGTTGGCAAATCGGTTTGCCTCGGGTGGCACTGCAGTCTGGTTATCAAGGAAACTTTGTAACGCTGCTGCTGGCTCAAAATACTAACCCCTGCTGATATTGCTGCGGATAATACAATTGTGATACTGATACTACCGCTCCTGCTAATGATGATGATAGTGCTGATACTGCTGTTGCTGATGATACTGACGCGGCTCCTTTGCTGCCACCGCTGATTATATTGCTCCCGCAGGCGGTTCTAATACTCTACTGCTGCAATTACTGCTCCCTGCTGAATGATGTCGCTGCGAATGATGATACTCCTGCTGTTGTTGCTGCTGATACTGAAGCTGCTGCTGCTGCTGTTGGCTGTGCAACACGAACAGCTGAAAGACGAGCGGACGAGAGAGGTCGGCCCGCGTTTATTTTTGTAATTTCCTTCAGAGTTTAAAAATAAAAGTAACCATCCGACGACTCTCACACGACCAGAGCCACGTGGGCACAGCTGTCCATCTGCACTGATTCACACGCGACACACACGTAGACAACAGCCTCTGTGTGTGTGTGTATAGCGTGGACAGCCTATGGACATTGTCGTACAAAAGCAAATCCTATACCTCGTGGCTTGGTGACTTTTTTCAAATGGCCCACGCAGAGTCAGCAGGGGTCTCTTCTCATCTCGGTCCCCCACCCCCCTCTCTTCCTCTCCCCGCCCCTGGCTTAGCCAACCCATTCTAGGCGGCCAAACCAATTAGCTCCGTGCATCGCCACCACCAATGGTTAATGACGGGCCCACTGGCCCTCCCTCCCCCTCCATCCACCGTTGCCCCTTTCGATATGTATAACATCCTGGTGAGATGACGGCAGAGATATAGATGGGAGTGCGATGCGGACATAAATAGAGCTGTGGTCAGGGTGAGTTCAGATAGATACGAGAGGTGTTGTTGGTTTTGTCCAAGCAACGTTGTTTGTTTAACCCCTGCTACGCCACTGCAAGGGGAGAGCAGAGTCATCAATGATATAAACGTAAGGCATGGGAATGGGAGCGGGAGATGGGGAGAAAAAGAATGGCAAATAAGAGGACAATAATTTAAAGGGAATAGAAAAACTGCAGAAAATGCGTCAAAATAAGATAAGGATAAGGAGGAAGAGGCTACACGAGGTCCTCGAAGCTGCTACACGGAGCAGCGTGTGTTTTCACAGAGGGCAGAAGGGTGTTGGCTACCACGGAAGTCACGTGATTTACGGGAGGCTTGAACTGATTTAGATCCTTTGGAGAATGATATAGAGGTGATATGGGAGAGATATGGGAGTGATATAGAGGTGAGGGGGCGTCCATAAATGACGTCACGCGATTTTGGACGATTTTTGACCCCCCCTCCTTCGTCACACGGCGTCACAAAAAGTCAGACCCCCCCCCTCAAATATGACGCAACAAAGCTCTGCCCCCCCCCTAAAAAACATGCTTCAAATCGCTTTAAACTATTGTCATTGTAGTGCGTATTTAATGTGGCGTTGCACTTTGATGTTGTAGGAGAAAACATTAAAAAGTATGTTTAATCAAGTAGAACGTGTTGTCTATATTTATTTAAAGTTGCGCATTTTGATGTGACGTCACATTTATCACCCCCCCCCACCTTGTCACACATCGTCACAAATGTCTGACCCCCCCCCCAGGTGCGTGACGTCATTTATGGACGGCCCCTTTGGAGAAAGATATAGAGGTGATATGGGAGAGATATAGAGACGATATGGGAGAGATCAAGAAATGTTACTGAGCGAATGTTCACTCGCCTTTAGAATGTGAGCTGATGCTTGATGCACCACTGTTTTCGTGAGTTACCTCGCCCGGCCACCACCACCAACACCACCATCATCAGCAGCTCCGCGGCCCAGAAACAGCAGACCAGCCTCCTCCCCCATTCGCCAGACGCAGGTATATTTAGCTATCGGTCAGTGTGTGTGTGTGTGTTTTTTTCTCTGCAGGCTAAAAAGGTGTTGCTACCCAATAACACAACCGTGCATGTGGTGTGGAGGGTCGCTGCCGTGATGTAATGTTTGGCACACGGCTTACAATGCAGAGGTCGCCGGTTCGATCTCCTGGTGCGACGGTTTAAATAATGGACAGACAGCTTTCTTGAAATGCACCGAACCTCTGTCCACCCAGCAGATATCCATTGGTAAACGCCGCAGTCGACCGGCAGGTGGCGTGTGGTGGAGGACTGCAACGTGTGGCTGCGCCCACCTCTTCAAAGTCGTCTGACCAGCGTAGCAGAAGAGGAGGCTAAATACCCACGAGAGGTATTGCTAAATCTGGTTGTGAGGATTGTCGTTGGATAAATTGCGCGTTAAATCCTTTTACACGTGACAATGTAATTGGCTGTGTTGGGTAGTGGAGGGTTCCAAGTAACATTGATTTAGTGAGTTAATTTCGTAGCCTAACCCAGTGGTTCTCAACCGGGGTCTACGTGGACCCCTGGGGGTTACGTGGCAATGTCCCAACGGGTACGTGATGAGATTTATAAACGTGCGAAATTCAGACACGAGAGTGGTGAATATTCATATATGAATCTGACATTATGAAATAACTACTATCAAATGTGAATCCATATGGTAAACATTAACGATGTAAAAGGCAAAAAATGTTTTGTTTCCAAGCGTAACCAGCGAGCGCGTGCAAAGCGTCGGTTGAATTTTGTTTTTTTTTAATCGCTTGCAGTTACGAGCTCTCAAATTGGACAATTTGGTTAAAATATCGATGTTCATTAATTCATTAATTTAATTGATCAGAACCATGTTGGGGTCAGGCCAGGGAGGCGGGGGGTTACTTGGTTTGAAACGAAATTCAACAAGGGGGGGGGGGGGTTGTACCAGGAACCACTGTGGCCTAAACCCAATAATTACGAATCCCATTCCATCGGCTACGGAAACCCACGAGTTAAAGTGAGTGCACGTGAGGTTACTCTCTTAATGCCCATTGTAGATGAAGCGTTTCCGCTAGCAGGGGTCGTTGGAGAGAGAAATTGCATGGCTGCGCCTTCACCACCCTTCTGAAGTGGTGCCACAATAAGCGTAAGTTAATCGCTCCCATTGTCTTGAAAGAGGTCCTCCGTACAGAGGAGAGGACATAACTCAAGACACATCCCTCATGTCGCCTTAACAGACTGTTGGTGAACGGCACACCACGGGATGAGTGGCCAACAACACGCCCAGCCGCCTTTGTCTCCCGAGTGGCGATGTTTACACAGCGACGCACCCCTATGGTTGCCACCTTTTCGAAACCAAGTTTGTCACAACTCTGCTATTTGACTGTTACAAATTTCAACGCAACACCCTGGTCCTGCATAAGATCACGGTGACAAATCATCAATTTCTGCCTCGCGAGAACACAACGGATGCCAACAAATTCCTGGACTATTCGGGTCAACCCCGGGGTCAGTTGGCAACCCAAAGTCACACACCGTGCTTCATCTCCCATTTGAGGTTATTTCGAGTATTTGGGTGCTATTAAACACGATAAGCCACTTTTGTTGGGCTATCATTTGTGGTAGCCAGGTCGCTTATGAAAAATAAGTTAATACCTCAGTGAGCTTTACCTGGTAAGATATAAAACATTGTTTAGCCTTATCTGTGTTTTTAAAATATTTTTTTCAAGTTATTTGTTTACCTTTCCTATACTTTCCCAATCCTATCGTGTTTTTTGTATTATTTGTTGTAACGTTCTGGACGCACCCTCACCCCTCCTGCCGCTCTTACCGGACATCTGTAAAACAACAACCCCCCAAAGAGCTTTACAGCTCATCGGCATCCTCCTCCAGCCCAGCCCTAAAACAGGTCCCTGCAGGGTGGGCTGGTAGGACAAGTCTCTGCGCTGTCTATTGCTGATTTTACACCCAACAGCACGAGATTTCACTTCGTTAAAGTATTGAAAGGGGACGGACGGACGGACACATTAATCTATTGCAGGCTGGTACACTCAGTTTACAACTTCGTACCTACCAGTATAAACTTGATCCTGGACTCATCAAAGTTGCCCAACCGCACGTGGCGCGTCGTCGTCACATCCGGCAGAGCCCCACGTGACTACGACGTCACCGTCACCCCCCACCCCCGGGGCGCGTGCCGTCGTTACGCTCCCACCACCGCCACAGCTCCCCGGCCGTGTTTACGTTCCGTCTCGGTGACCCCCCACTCAACCCTCAAAACCCCACCCCGCAGTGGCGTCGCGAAGAGCGGCACAGCGGGCGGACACCGCGGTGCGAGAAGCCCAACACCGCCATGCCGCCTCGAGCACGCCGCGTCGGCTGAGCGCCGCGCCCCACCTCGGCTCGCGTCTCAGCGGCGGCGGCGACGGCCTACTTCGCGCTCGCGGGCCCTACCCATTTGCCTGAATGCCCTAACAGGCGAGGGGTGCGCCCTGCCCGGTTAGGCAGGAGTTGAACCTCCCCCCCCCCACCCCGGCACCAGAGGGTTCGCTTCGACCAAGCCCTGGCCGCTCCCCTACCGCCGCCGACCATGAGTGTGCGCGCATTTTCCCTCGTGCCCGTGACGGAGCGAGGCGACCTGCCGCCTGCGGACGCCGTGGTGAGCCTGGAGCGCAGCGGCGAGCGGCTGTACGCGGGCGCTGCGAGCGGCATGCTGCACCGCCTCGCGATGCCCGAGGGCGCCGCCCGCGCTCGCCTCGTCTGCTCTCGGCCGGCGCCGATCCCTCACGCGGGGCCCGCCACGTGCCTGCGCGCGGCCTCGGCCCTGGGTCATTTGCTGGCACTGTGGGCCGACGGCTGCCTACGCGTGGTGGACATGGAGGCGCTCGGCGACGCGGCCGTGAGCGGGGCGGCGCGGCTGCGTGGCGTGGCCGCGTTTTGCCTCAACGAGAACCCCGTGGGCACGGAGGCGTTCTGCGTGCAGCTGTGCGTGGCGGCTATGAAGCGCAAGGTCGTGCAGGTAAAACCCGGGGGCGCGATGCTGGCGCACGCCGTGTGAGGCCGGCGCTGTGTGTGGAGGCCGCGACTGTGTGTGGAGGCCGGGACTGGGTGTGGAGGCCGGGACTGTGTGTGGAGGCCGGGACTGTGTGTGGAGGCGGGGACTAAGTATGGAGGCCGGGACTGGGTGTGGAGGGCGAGGGTGTTTGGTGGTCTTGCACGGATGTTGTGGAAACTCGCTTCCCGTGGACTTTGAGGAGGGTTGCCCCGTACCCCTGGCTGGCCGGGAGAAAGCAGCACAGCAAGTGGATTCATCGCCATCTGTTTCCATCTGTACGAGGATAGAGTGTTAGTCCCTTGCGCGCGGCGTTTTTCTCCGGGTGCTCCGGTTTCCTCCAGCGTGTATAAACATTCGTTTTAAAATGCAAACTCAATGCAGGACCCACTACGACGACTCAGTTTGGCGTTCCTGAATAAGTCAATAATTTTACATCATTATAAATGAAGGTAACTGCGGAGTCACCTGTCACCGTTGACACGTGTCAATCAACTGCGACAGGTGCCTCTTACCTGCGACCTTCACAATAAACCAACTTCCCCCTTTAACTGTCTTCTATTAACGAACTGAAGTCGATACAGAGGACAAGCCCAGCTTCCTGGTCGAGCCACATTCATTGTTGACATGCTCGATATTTTCTACCTGGCCGTCGCTGTCTCTCGAAGGCAAGTGTGGGCGCTCACGTCCTTGTCAGCGTGTCGCAGTTGTCCACCTGCCTCTGAAAATGCACGACCCACCACTAACCACGGTGACGATTGGTACAGCGCAACTGGGACTGGCTTGGACCATGACGTTTCCGCCCGGCTTGGAGACGCATTTAACAAGTCGGTATCGCCTTGCATGCCGATCAGCTTTTGAGCTTCGGGAGTGTGATGTTCATAATTGTAAATGTTGTGGATTTTGCTCTCCAACACACCGGTGTGCCGTACTTGGAAAGAATTGGCATGTTTTGTTTACCTGACCAAACCTTACTAATTGGCTGTGTCGGGTGGTGGCGGTTTTAACGACACAACGTTTATACTTACGCGATCTAACCCAAAAACAATCTGTTATGGATATTCATCATTTCCTTGTGTTTTTTTCATGGGTCTCCCCCAAAACCCCCATTACAGTGAAGGAAAAAAGTATTTGATCCCCTGCTGATTTTGTACGTTTGCCCACTGACAAAGAAATGATCAGTCTATAATTTTAATGGTAGGTTTATTTGAACAGTGAGAGACAGAATAACAACAACAAAATCCAGAAAAACGCATGTCAAAAATGTTATAAATTGATTTGCATTTTAATGAGGGAAATAAGTATTTGACCCCCTCTCAATCAGAAAGATTTCTGGCTCCCAGGTGTCTTTTATACAGGTAACGAGCTGAGATTAGGAGCACACTCTTAAAGGGAGTGCTCCGAATCTCAGATTGTTATCTGTATAAAAGGCACCTGTCCACAGAAGCAATCATTCAGATTCCAAACTCTCCACCATGGCCAAGACCAAAGAGCTCTCCAAGGATGTCAGGGACAAGATTGTAGACCTACACAAGGCTGGAATGGGCTACAAGACCATTTCCAAGCAGCTTGGTGAGAAGGTGACAACAGTTGGTGCGATTATTCGCAAATGGACAAAACACAAAAGAACTGTCAATCTCCCTCGGCCTGGGGCTCCATGCAAGATCTCACCTCGTGGAGTTGCAATGGTCATGAGAATGGTGAGGAATCGGCCTACAGAACTACACGGGAGGATCTTGTCAATGATCTCAAGGCAGCTGGGACCATAGTCACCAAGAAAACAATTGGTAACACACTACGATATGGACAAATCCTGCAGCGCCCGCAAGGTCCCCCTGCTCAAGAAAGCACATATACATGCCCGTCTGAAGTTTGCCAATGAACATCTGAATGATTCAGAGGACAACTGGGTGAAAGTGTTGTGGTCTGATGACACCAAAATTGAGCTCTTTGGCATCAACTCAACTCGCTGTGTTTGGAGGAGGAGGAATGCTGCCTATGACCCCAAGAACACCATTCCCACCGTCAAACATGGAGGTGGAAACATTATGCTTTGGGGGTGTTTTTCTGCTAAGGGGACAGGACAACTTCACCGCATCAAAGGGACGATGGACGGGGCCATGTACCGTCAAATCTTGGGTGAGAACCTCCTTCCCTCAGCCAGGGCATTGAAAATGGGTCGTGGATGGGTATTCCAGCATGACAATGATCCAAAATACACGGCCAAGGCAACAAAGGAGTGGCTCAAGAAGAAGCACATTAAGGTCCTGGAGTGGCCTAGCCAGTCTCCAGACCTTAATCCTATAGAAAATCTGTGGAGGGAGCTGAAGGTTCGAGTTGCCGAACGTCAGCCTCGAAACCTTAATGACTTGGAGAAGATCTGCAAAGAGGAGTGGGACAAAATCCCTCCTGAGATGTGTGCAAACCTGGTGGCCAACTACAATAAACGTCTGACCTCTGTGATTGCCAACAAGGGTTTTGCCACCAAGTACTAAGTCATGTTTTGCAGAGGGGTCAAATACTTATTTCCCTCATTAAAATGCAAATAAATTTATAACATTTTTGACATGCGTTTTTCTGGATTTTGTTGTTGTTATTCTGTCTCTCACTGTTCAAATAAACCTACCATTAAAATTATAGACTGATCATTTCTTTGTCAGTGGGCAAACGTACAAAATCAGCAGGGGATCAAAGACTTTTTTCCCTCACTGTATATGCGGAACACGATATATCCGCCCACGGCATGTCGAGGACACTGCACCATCATTTTGATGGTTACGTACATTCCAATTGAGTAATTTGCATTTCCCACAAATTGCCCAATTGGAATATGCACAGCAATGATCATTCGGACTGCGAAAAACTTAGCAGGGACTGAGCGATGCCTTCTTGAGTAAATAAGCATTGAATACATAACCGTTTTCCTCATCATCGCTGCAGCATCGTTCAGAAAGCTCGCCCGTTCAAGTTGCTCGTCTGCGCCATTCCGCTGCCTCCACAGATTTACCTGGTCCGCGGGGACCGCATTCAGCCACTGCGTGACCTCGCGACCCCGGAGCTGCCCGTCGCCGTGGCAGCAGACGGAGCCTTTGTGTGCGTCGCCATGACAACGCGATACGTGATGCTCAACTCCTCCACGGGAGCCTGCCAGGTTGGCCAAGAGCAATCGGCGTTGTTCAGTCACTGGCATTTGCAGACACGCAGCAGTAGATCGATTATGGCCGATTATGATGAGTAGATATGTGGGGTGGAGCAGCAGCAGAGTTTCTGTCGTACTGATCTGTGAATCCAGTGAACTGAGTTTGATTCCTGGCCATGGCTAATATTGGTTGTGAGTTATATCTGAGCCCATCTCTTTATCCACTCCACATTCCCCTTAATATCCTGGCTTACCACTCCGCACCACCTAATTTTATGCCTGTCTCTCTGATGATTCCATGTTCACCTTCTGATATGGTGTTCCTGCCTTATGAGTTGACCTTTCAGCTTGTCTGCGATCGGTATCACTCTTGCATTTTTTCCCAACCCTTCACGTTATTATGGATTTGCACCATTGCAGTTGCTGTGCAAATCCACCATCGGGGGGTTCTAAGGGTTGAAATAGATTTTTGGTGTTCGAATGTGACAAAAAATCGAGCTCGATTCGATTAGCGATTCCGTGACTATTGGAATCAATAATTTATTCCTAAAAAGGATCTACCGTCCTGCGTCACACGTGGGAACAGAGGTTTCAAGTAATAAATATCTAAATGTTTATTGACCGGCTTCCTCGTTTTCCCATCCGCCGCCCGACTGCACTGCCCAGGAGCTGTTCCCGAGGGAGCAAGAAGAGGAGGAGGATGAGACGGAGGGGTCGGGGCGGACCACCGCCCCCATCGTGAAGCGCATCGCCAAGGAGGAGTTCCTGCTCACTGGGCCCGGCTCACTCGGTCAGTCTGCCCGCCTGCCCACCCACCCACTCGCTCGTTCTCTCTCTCTCTCTCTCTGACGGAATGTGACTCGGTGGTGAGAGCAGCCTTTTGCCATCTACCTGCTGAGTCATCAGCCCATTGTGGCAACATCCGTTGTTGTACACCGTGCCGTGTCCCCTGCCCCTTCACCAACCCGCACTGACAAGCGTGGTGAAGTACAGTCGGCCCTCGATTTTCCGGAGTAAGGTGGGGCGAGGCGAGGTATGGCCTGGATAAAACAAAGACACGGGTAATAAAAAAAACAATGTCAATTAGGCCGTAAAAATGATTGTTGCAACAACATGGAAGTACTGTGATATATATTGTATGATATACAGTCCACGATAATTGCTTTCTCCATTTGCCAGCATATACAGAGCAGAACGAAAATTGCGCTGTCAGGAATCGTTGCGGGGCCTAACTTGCACCACAGCTGGTGGTGTGACTTTCGGGAGAGTGTGCAGCCGGTGCAATTGCACCGGAGCCCACAGGCCGGGGGTGAGCCCAGACGCTGAGCTACGAAGAGATTGTTGGGTAAATTGGACCGGGTCACCTCTTTGTATTCTTTGCCGACGCCAACCTACTCTTCGCCGCTGTCCGCAGGAATGTTCGTAACGTCGGAGGGTGTGTCGCGTCGGGCCCCAGTCCGCTGGGGCGATGGCGTGCGCGGCGCCGCGCTGGCGCCCCCGTACCTGTTGGCGCTGGGGGCCCAGCTCCTCACCGTGCACAGCCTCCTGGACCAGCAGCTCAAGCAGAGCATCCCCTTCACGGGCGGGCACTGCCTCGACAGCCTGGAGGGTACGGAGCACAACGACCCGTGCCTACGCCCGCACAGCCAAGCACCCACATCTTTCCCCGTTCTTTCGACGGGGTTGTTGACATGAACAACCGCACCTCTGATTAGCATAGTTGGCTACGTACGTTTGCGAAAGAAGTTGAACATACGTACGTACATCGTTCGAACTGTTAAAACAAGTGAGTGGGCTTGGGTAGGACACGTCGCTAGAAGGGATGTTTGGGCGAGATTGAGTACGGGATGGCAGGCGAGGAGTGGAATGAGTCCGAGAGGATGCCCACCGGAGAGATGGAGCGATGAAATCAGCTTGTGGTGCGTGGGTGCCAAGTGGGTTGTTACGTCGCAGGATCAGGAGAGATGGCGGCATTGGAATGACCATGGCTGATGGTGTTTTTGTTAGTAAAGGTGTTGGAGTGAGTAAAGGTGTTTCAGTGAGCGTTCGTGTGTCTAGAGCCTGTTTTGGTAATGCTTTGCTGAAACAGGACCACCCCACGCCATGTGGATCATGGGAATAATTTGAGCACAGTTCATCGCGCTGGTCATTGTGGGTTGGTGAAAGAAGGGTGGCCAGGACCTGTTCATGGGCGCCACGGTTGCGAGATGTGGTATACAGGAGGTCGTGGGTTCGATCCTGACCCTGACACCTGGATATTTGTAGTTTTCATGTTCTCCCTGTGGTCGTGTGGATTTTTCCCAGGGTCCTCTGGTTTTTCCCTCTACATTCAGAATTAACATCGCACGTTTAGAGTATTTGGCTGCTGTACATTTCCACGTAATGATGAGCCACTTCTTTGAACTATAATTTCTGGTTGGGCTGCTTTTGAAAAATAGCTATATAGCTCGGTGGGCCTTACCTGGTAATATTAAAATCGTTTTTTGTTTCGTTCAGATATCACTCGCTCCTGATGTTGCCTTGACCGAGAATCAAACTTGGGTCACTGGATTTAAAGCGCAGTGCGCTATCCACTATGCCACCGCTCCACCCATTAGAAAAGAAAACCTCGTGATTTCCTGCCCAAATGATAATTGAGGCATTGCTCGCCGCCTGTATACAGCCCTGTGCGATTGGTGGAAATTCCACATTCCTATGGCAGAGGTGATTAACTCAAATAGGACAACCATTCTTAACTTCCCCTTCAAAGTGATACCTATTTTATCGACCCTGGAGGGATGATGGGCCGAGTCAATCCACCCATTTTACCTATTTTATCGACCCTGGAGGGATGATGGGCCGAGTCAATCCACCCATTTTACCTATTTTATCGACCCTGGAGGGATGATGGGCCGAGTCAATCCACCCATCGAGGATTTGAGCTCGCGACATTCTTATCGCGAGCTGCTCTCTCTACCCATTAAACACTTCCTCGCCAGCGGTGCCGGTAGCCGGTGTTGACGGTTGGTTGCGGCGACGCCGGGGGGGGGGGGGGGGGGGGGGGCGCCCTTGCGTGCTCGCGGTGCAGGGAAGCTGCTGGCGTGCGCGGGCGGCCGGCTCTACGCGCTGGAGCCGTGCTCGCTCGAGAGCCAGGTGGGGGACCTGCTGGCGGGGGGCCGCGTCGACCAGGCGCTGGAGCTGGCGAGGGCGTCGCGTCACACGCTGCCCCGCGAACGCTACGCGGTGAGCTGCTTGCGAGTGAACGCACGCACGCACGCACGCGGCGACACGGTCGGGTGGTTTGCAGCACGCTTGCCCGCTCGCTCGTCGTACTCTGTTGAACTTGAACTTCTTTCGCGCCGTACGTACGTAGCCAGCCATGATAATTGGAGGTGCTCTCATGTTAAGGCGCTCCGGTTTGTTGGGCTGCATATTCCTTCCAATCTGCATCGACAAATGGGGCCCCCTTTAAGTCGTAATTTGTCTCCAGTTTTACAGAGAAGACGCCGGAAGTTAGACACCACGTACTGATACGTTCCCGCTTGTACGCATATTCTTCTGATATATAAACAGACGAGGATATATGCATTCGACACATCCTTGGCTGTTTACATACAAGTACAATAGCCACCCAATGTGTGTGTTTAAACGTTTCTTACTTAATTTGTCATTGTATTTTGATCTTAACAAAAATGAATCTACCCGAGGCCAACTTGTATCATTTAACATTGGTTTAATTTTCGTGAAATATTTTCAATTTCTCACGCGGAGAGCCCTGTAGAGCGGTTAATGCGCACTGCTCCGCGAGCCCTTGGCACGCGACTTAAACTGCGGTGCGCGGGCAACATCGGCGACGAGAATAACTGAACGGGTTCCTGGGCCAACCCCCCGAGGTCCACGCAGGCTTAAACGAGAACCCGGTACTTACTGTGTGCACTTGCCCCAACATTCCGCTAAGGCTATGCGGGGATCGTGTGTGCTGCGCGTTCCCAGCCGCTGTACGAGCGCGTCAAGCAGCAGGCGGGCTTCGTGGAGTTGGCGTTGGGACGCCTCCCTGAAGCCACGGAGCTTTTCAGGTATCGGCAGTGCCGGATCAAGCTAGTGGCGGAGCCTGTAGCAAATGTTTAAAAAGGGGCCATGAATTAAAAAAAAATACACAAATATTAAAACGCATTTTTTTACTTGCATAGTAAAGTAATTGTATTTTTTCATTTGCTATACAGCCAGATAATACGACAAATCGCTAACCTTAAACACCCAGTCGTTCATAAAAGTTGAAGGCGGCATAGTACTATGGTAATAGAGCAAGTGCAGAATCACTGAACCGGAATTCATAGCTTGAAAGCATTTAGCGCGAGACCCTTGAAAGTGCGGGGCCCATAGCATATGCAACTTTTGCTACTAGGATAATCCGGCACTGGGTATCGGACAAACTGAGTTAACACGGGAACAACAACAGCAGCTGAGTGGTTGCTTGACTTACGTCAGAAACACCGAACCCAATGGCGTAGCGAGGTTGGCGTCGGCCTTGGTGCAAGCGGTTAAATGGGCCCTCCCTGCCCAATTTATCCCCCAATTATTCATAGCCAAGAGCGGGGGCCCCTCCGTCCTGTGGGCCCCCGGTGCACACTTTATAGCCACAACACTGGAGCCAACGCTATTGTAGAGGTTCCATGTTAGTCTATGGGTTCCTACATAAGTCTGTGGGCAGGGTGACGTAGTGGTAACACTAGTACCTCGCAGTAAGAAGGACCTGGATTCAATTCCTGAATTGGATGCCTTCTGCGTGGAGTTTAGGTTTCCTCCGTGTTCGCCAGTTGCCCCAAAAAGCAAAAAACACACAATATAACTGGTATTGGCCAAACATCCCAATCCTGACAATTGGGTGATGAAATTATGAATTGAATTAATGGTCGTTGCAGTTAACTATTAATCGAACGTGTTGTTAAATTAATGAATGGTGACTCGACAGGAGCGGCCGCCTGGACGTGCGCGAGCTCGCCTCGCTGGTGCCCGACCTCCTGCCTCCCTCCTCCTCCTTCTCGCGTGCGCACCCCCCGCTGCACCCGCACGCCGACCTCACCACGCTCGCCGGGGGCCGCCCCCACCTCGCCACCTCCATCCGCCGCTTCCTCGCCTCCCGCCTGGCGGAGGCGCGCACCGCGGGGCCCCCCGACTCGCGCGCCGTCGTGCTCGTCGGCGGCGGCGGGGGGGCGCTCCCCAGCCCCCCGCCGCCCGGCCCGCCAAGCTGGCGGGAGGACGTGGACACGGCGCTGGTGAAGCTGTACGCCGAGGAGGGGGACGAGCGGCTCTTCGACCTGCTGGCGGGCGGCGACTGCGCCGCTCACCTGCAGGACTCTGCCGCTCACCTGGAGCGCCTCGGCAGGTGAGCCTTGAGTCCGTGTGCGCGCGTGTGTTTGTCCGTGTTTTGTCGGGAGTGAGGAGCGGTGGTGTAGCGGTTAGCGCGCTGCACTACGAACCTGGCGACCCGGGTTCGATGCCCGCGCACGGCCAAAACCAGTGACGATTATTTGAACTGATCGACTCGGCCTCAAATCAGTACCTGGTGCGGTGTGTAAACATCGCCACTGGGGAGACAAAGGCGGACGTGCTTTGTGCTGGCCACACACCCCCATCGTGTGCCGTGCCGGCCATCATTGGAGCTCGCTAACAGCACTTGTCCAAACAGTCTGTTGAGGCTACAAGGGGGATCTTTTTCTTTGTCGTGGGGAGACAAAGGTGGCCACGCGCGTTGCTCATTTCGCCATCACCTCGAGCGCCGTGCTGCTCTTAATAGGTGCCCGCAAACAGCATTTTCCCCGACAGTCTGCTTAATGCAATACGGGGGGCATCTGTGTGCCTGCACACGAGTTGATGAGATCCCTCCGTCCCTGTGGTGGTTATCTCCTGCGTGTGCACTGCAGGTATTTTGCACTCGGCCTGCTCTACCACCACCATCAGCAGGACGACGTGGCGCTGCAGGTGAGAGGCCTCGCGGGATTGAACCTGAGCACGCTCGCTGGGTCCACCCGCTAGCCAGTGCCGGGTTATCCTAGTAGCAAAAGTAGCTACACATGCTACGGGCCCCGCACTTTCAAGGGCCCCGCGCTAAATGCTTTCAAGCTATAAATTCCGGTTCAGTGATTCTGCAATTACTCTATTACTAAAATGTAATTACTTTACTATGCAAGTAAAAAAATGTGTGTTTTAATATTTGTGTTTTTTATTTATTTAGGGCCCCTTTATAACACATGGTACAGGCCCCCGCACTAGCTTAATCCGGCACTGCCGCTAGCCATGCCAGCCTCCACAAGATAAGCCACTGGCTGACATTTGGTCAACTGCCAAAACGAAATGCCATGAATGTCATATCTGAAATAGATGTGTAGAGCGGCTTAGTCCAAGGTGCTTTGCAATAAATATGCAACCGTACGTAAGATTATGGTGCTTAAAATAAGGAGCGAGTGCGGTTGTTAAAAGCGGTGGTGTAGTTGTGGTTACAGGACAGGCATTGTAGTTTTCCTTCGAAGGCCGCAGTGTTAATAACAGATTTGTTGATTTTGTTGTTAATTGTTCTTGTGCATCGCTACCAACGCATAGACAGCATCAGCAGATTGTAAACGAGTTTTATTGATTTTTGCTGCTATACATTTGCACGTGATAAGCCGCTTCGTTGAGCCCTCATTTGTGGCCAGGTTGCTTCTGAAAAGAAGCTAATAGCTCAGTGGGCTTTACCTGGTAAGATAAAAAAATATTTTTTTTATATCCTTTGAAGGTGATTTGTTTATCTTTCCTATGCTGTGCACGCCTATGGTGTTTTTGTATTTATTGTTGTAACGTTCTGACCCACGCCTACCGGACATCTGTGAAAAAGAGCTTCATAGCTCATCGGATTCCTCCAGTATGAATAAATATTCCGATTCTGAACGTTTAAATTCCCGATAATCTCATTCAAGTTTCTACAGAAGCTGAGCCGTGCAAGCAATTTTGCCTTGACGTCGCACACAACGAACGGGTCGTTAGCCCTGGCCCTGCTTGGCCCCCAGGCCCCAGATCCAGACGTCACTTGCGAGCTCGGCATATTACCGTTTTGATTCTGGCTCCAGCTCGCCGAAACACCAATTTGAAACACATTCATAACTTGTGTGACACCCACGCCGGCTTGGCTTGGATGTACCAGTGAAAAAGGTGGGAGTTTGTGGCAAATGGTGGATGTTGATGTGCTGTTGCTCTGTGTGTGTGTTCTCTGAGGACGAGCGGTGGTGTAACGGTTAGTGCGCTGCACTTACGATCCCGGTGACCCATAGTTCATAGTTTATTTATTTGGTATAGCCCTGTGAGCCATTCGGCTCTTGAATCGGGTGCAACCTCAACAAACAAAAAACATGAACAAAAAAAAACATCTTAAAGTGATTATGTGACTGTGCAAACAGAAAATCCAGGAAAAAAACAATCAAAATATTCCTGAAATAGCAACGTACACCAACGCTGTGTGCAAAAATGCTAGTGGGATGCAAGTCAAATAACAACAACAACCACAAGACAACTAAGATTAAGGCCATCAGTCTAACTCCGTACTACAATAAACAAAAACATGGCCAAAACAAAAAAAACGTTTTCGAAATCACCAAAATAAAAGCCATAAATGCAATGTAACAGTGATCATAGGGACTGTGACCGAATGTTTAACAATAAACTACATAAATAAATGATTACACCAAAATCTAGAGCCATATTTTAGGCCACTGAATAGCAGTGGCAGCTAGGGGTGTACAACTCCTCTAGAGCAGTTTTGAGTGAAGATCTCATAGGTAGTGATTCAAGTTGCAGTTTATTGGCAATAGCATTCCAGACCCTGGAGGCATCAATAGCAAAGGCCGTTCCTCCGGTTTTGTACGGCAATATGGAATGTGAAGCTGGTAGATGAGCGAAGACCTGAGGTCAAATTTGTTCTTTGAAACAGAGAGGAGATCCAGTAGGTAGTCTGCGGATTTTTTTGTAAGTACATCGTGAATAAATAATATCTGGTGCACAAGCCGTCGAACATTAAGAGATGTTAAGTTTGACCCAATGTAGAGATCACAGTGGTGAGTCCTATATGGGCAGTTCAATGCAAATCTTAAGGCCGAGTGATAGATGGAATTAAGCTTCTTCAGTACAGTACTTGGGGCTGATTTATACACGATGTCACAGTAGTCAAGTTTATGGCCGACACCAGTGACGATCTTAACCGGTCCTGGGCCTCCTCATTGAGTACCTAGTGCGATGCGTAAAAAGCATTGCCACAAAGGAGACAAAGATGGGCGGGCGTGGTGCTGGCCACCCACCCCCTCGTGTGGTTTTCCAGCTTTCATAGGTGCTACTCACTTGCAGCACTTGCCCCAACAGTCTGTTAAGGCTATACGGGGGATGTTTGTCTTTGTGGGGCGGTAGGGGAGTGGTAGCGTAGTGGTGAGCGCACCGTGGCACGTACCCGGGGACGCGAGTTTGATTCCTGCTCGCAACCATCAACATTGACAAATATGAGTACCTGGTGCGGTTTGAGAACATGGGCACAGGGGAGACAAAGGCGGACGGGCACAGCGATGCACACACCACACCGCTCATGCACCGTGGCGGCCTCAATAGGTGCTCGCGAACGGCACTTGCCCCAACAGCCTGTGTAAGTCTACACGGGGGATCTTTGTCTTTGTGTTCTCGCCAGTACTGGGTGCGAGTGGTTGACGGGGAGCTGAGCGACGCATCACGGCCCGACCTCTTCTCATTCATCATCGACTTCCTGAGCTACTGCCCGAACGCCAAGCTGGTGTGGAGGCACTCCGCCTGGGCCCTGAAGCGCAGCGAGGAGGTGAGCTCACCGCCAGCGGTGGCGCGCGGGGGGAGAGGATGGAGGGGGGCTATGAAGTTGGGGGAAAGTAGGCAAGGGCGAGCACTGGCAATTGGTCGTAGGCAGCATAGGTAGCGTGGGCAGCGTAGGGCAGCGTGGGCAGCGTAGGGCAGTGTAGGGCAGCGTAGGCATTTGCCTGGGGTTTTGGAGGGGCCGGCAATGTCGAGTTCTACAATGTCAAGTTTGTGGGCCATCTTGTTCGGAGTGGGTAAGCCTCATGTGGCCACGGACCGTTGGAAATGTACGTATATATTGTGCACTTCTTGCACATCGTAACGTAGCCAACCGTGCTAATCTAAAATGAAGTTGCGTGTCGCATCAAGTCGCGGTGCCGTGTGATATGAAATCGCGGGCCGTTTGAATTTAAAATTGCGGGGCCGCATGATATTAAGTCACAAGCTGGTTGGTTCCCCACCGCCTGCTCTGCACGCTTGACGGCTGGAGCGTCGCCCGGTGCCGCGAATGAAAGAGGTCTCCATGTTGGCCGCCCAGACAGGAGTCCACATCTTCACCAAGCGGCCGTGGCGAGAGGAGGGGAGCAAGGAGCTGTGCGCCGACGAGGTGGTGCGGTTCCTGGGCCAGTTCCCGCGTGCCCTGATGGCTTTCCTGGAACACCTGGTGCTGGAGAGGCGGGTGCAGGTGCGATCGCACGGCTGTGTGCAAGTGCGCATGCGTTTACTCGTGTGTGGTGAGCGGCAGTGCATCGATTGGCGCGCTACGAACCTGGCGAACGCGGGTTCGATTCCCGATCACGGCCAACACCAACACCAGTGACGATTATTTGAACCGGGACGCAGTATATTGACCCACCATGGGTGATCAGTGATGACTAGTGATGGTAATAATGGTTGTGATGATAGTGATGATGACTTTGCTGATGTAGATGATTATGCTGGTGGTGGTGGTGATGATGATGAAAATGGTGATGGTGATTCTGATGAAGATACTAACTTTCATGATTGTGATGGTGATGATTTCATATGGCTGATGAAGAGAAACAATAGAGATTCAGTTCTCAGCTGATTCAGCCACACTTACCTACTGAACTACCCACCAACTCACCCACCCATTGCATTTATATTGATATTTGGGGAAGTGAAAAATGAATCGCTGCATGGCTTGTTGTTCGAAGCTGCCAATCCAGTTTCAATCAGCCCTATTCGGGCAGTGTCGTTGTGGGTTCACTGACGAGCTGCGTGTTGTGGAAGCTGGGCAGTGTGGTGGTGGGTTCACTGGCGAGCTGCGTGTTATGGAAGCTGGGTAGTGGGGTGGTGGACTTGCTGAACAGGGTGTGTGTTAGGCACATTGAATCCCACGCGTTGGTCCACACTGTTTCAATGCTGAAGTTCCCCTTGTGCAGAGTTTGTGCCGCGTGTTTCCAAAGCGGCCGAGTTGTGGATCTCATGGCGCGGACACGGAAATTTGTATTCAGATCGTCGTCGTTTAGAAGGAGATTTGGGCCGACATCCAATCGGTGCTGTCAACGTAGCAATACAGCATCGTGCTGAATGTATCTCACGGTCCGATATTTGACAGGACATGGTGGTGATGATGATGATGATGATTTTGAAGATTGTGATGATGATAATGATGGTGGTGGTATTGACGACGATGACTTTGATGGTAGTGGTGTTGACGATGTTGATGACGACGATGATGGTAGCGGTGTTAACTGTGATGATGGTGGCGACGCGGCCCAGGAGGAGAGGCACCACACGCACCTCGCCACACTCTACCTGGAGGACGTCCTCGACATCCTGTGCAACCATCAGCCTGACGACCACGGGGGGTCACCGGGGGTCACGGCGGGGTCGCAGGGCGCCAAGCTGGCCGCGGCACGGGCCAAGCTCCAGCTCATGCTGCAGGAGTCGGAGCTCTACCGTGCGGAGTTCCTGCTCGGTGAGTGGTGGTGGTGGTGGTGGGTAGAGACACTCTGGGAAGTGTGGGGAGAGACTGGGGAGTGTGGGCAGAGACACCGGGAGTGTGGGACACGGGGAGTGTGAAGAGAGACTAGGAGAGTGTGGGCAGAGACACCGGGAGTGTGGGGGAAGACACGTGCAGTGTGTAAAGTGGAGCCCAGGCAGGTGGCTTCATCCCTTGAGATGTTTAGAGTTAGATGGGGCCCAGCTCTTGACAGTGCTTGACCCCCTTTGAAAGCAATCTCATGAAATACGCCATCTGGCCACCAACTCATTAATTCCCTATTTATATAATAATATATTGTCATTGGCGAAATACCGCTGGATGAACGCCTCCCTTCCGTCCCCTCTGCTCCCACCCTCCCCCCCTGTCTCGCTGCTCTTCGACATCCTCCCCCTCTGCCCTTTCCCCTCCCTGCAGGTAAGCTGGGCGCCTCTCCGCTGCTGGCCGAGCGGGCCTTGCTGCAGGGCCGCCTGGGCGACCACGGCGGCGCCCTGCACACTCTGGTGCACGGCGCGCACGACCTCCCCGCGGCACGCCGCTACTGCTCTCGCCACCCGGACCCGGCCCAGCGCCGCCGCCTCTTCCACCTCCTCCTCTCCGCCTGCCTGGTGCCGCCGGCCGGGCCCTGCCAGTCCAACGGGCCGGAGCGCGGCGCCGCCCGCAACGGGACGGGCGCGGGGCCCGACGACGACGGCGCCTACGACGACAGTGCCTTCGACGGGCACGACGGCGTGCGCCGTGCCGACGAGACCGACGCGGTGGCCGTGGCGGATCTGCTGAACGGCGAGGCCCCCGAGTTCGAGGCGTCCGCCGTGCTGGCGACGCTGCCCGAAGGCTGGTCGGCGGGGCTGCTGGCGCCGTTCCTGCGCACGGCGCTGCGGGGCAGCCTGCACGCGCGGCGCACCGCGCAGGCGCAGCGTGGGCTGGCGTGTGCGCAGAACCTCGCGCTGCGCAGGGAGAAGGTGAGAGAATGTGTCCTCCTGTCCGTAACGGGGAGATGGTGCCGTAGCGGTTAGCCCGCTGGACTACGAACCCGGCGACCCGAGTTCGATTTCCCGCTCGTGGCCAACACCATAGACGATTATTTGAACAGGCCCTGGGCCTCCCCTAGATCGACTCGGCCTCAAATTAGTATCTGGTGTAATGTGTTAACGTAGCGTTGGTGCTTTCCACCCAGCCCTTCGTGTGCCGTGCTAGTCTTCATAGGTGCTGGCTAACAGCACTTGCCCTAACAGTCTGTTAAGGTTATATGAGGGTTCTTTGTCTTGTCTGTCCATAATGGTGCGGGCTCTATGACTATCATAAAGATGATCCTGTATGAATCAAACTGTGCTAAAAAGTGGCATTGCGATTGGCGACCTACTTTATTGATTACCGGCCACATTGATCCAAAGTTTGCCCAAAAACCTGGAAACAAAAAACGAGAGCAAAATAATTACTTTATTTACAAATATGCACACACATTTTGCCCTCCCCTTGGGCGTCTGTCTTGCGAATCAAATACCTCCAAAGACGAGCACACGCTGGAACGCGTTACATAATTCAAGCGCAATTTCAAGCAGGTAGGTTTTGCGAGCGTCGTTAGTTTTGGAAGCGTGCAAGCGATCATCGTCCTTTCTCACTCGCCGTGCGGCGCTGACCTCTGCCCATCCGTGCCTCCATCTGCCCCCCCCCCACACACACCGCCCCCGTAGGCCTCTCTGTGCCGGCGGCCCGTGGTGCTCACGGAGCGTACCATCTGCCCCATGTGCCAGGGGGTGTTCTCCGAGCCCGAGTTTGCGCGCTACCCCAGCGGCGCGGTGGTGCACCCGGCGTGCGCCCGCCAGCGCTCGGTGTGCCCCATCACGGGCCACGTGTACTCGCCGTGACGGCGCCCCCGCCCGCCCCGTGCGTCCGTCCACTCCATTGTGTCGTTAAACTTGAAGAACGATTGGCCACGCCGCTGCTCGGCGGCGGCGGCGTCGCCGAGGATTTCGCCGATTATTTTTTTCTGCGTGGAAACTTTGTGACAAAGCGAGCAAGAAGAGCCAGGGCTTTAATGTCAGCTGGATCGGTTTGGGTCAGCGACCAGGAAAAAGTGTTTCCACACCCGGCAACATCGCATCCAGGTATCCATCCCGCTGTGGCTGTGGCCGCTGGTCACTTGCACACCTGCTCCAGTCTGCCAGCGACCCGCAAGATATTCCATTAGGGGAATTAAGCCCTGAGAATGACAAAACCGCGAATTCTACCCTGCCAAAAAATACTCTGTTATGATGATGATGACGACGACGCGGGGCCTGAAGTCATGAATTTAAACAAATGTCTCCCTCGTCGTGATGAACGGAAGGGTTTGCCCTCGCCGGAAACAAACCACGACCATATCCTCAATTATTTTACTTTCCTAACCTTAGTTGTGCGTTGTATCTGCGAGCGACGTGTCGTGGGATCGCGCACCTGTGCATGTGGATGGGGGGGGGGAATGCCGCTAAGCGGTGGTCGCTGCTCGTAGGGACGCGCATAGCATTAGAGCAGGGCTGGGGAATCTTTTCTTTGCCGAAGGCCGAATTGGACTGTCGCATACATGTGGCGGGCAACCGCACTTGAAAAACGCACACACCTTAGACATATATACAATAATAGCGTACAAAAATAATTGAGGAACACCTATAATTTTAGAAACGGTGTTGCCAGGTGGAAAAACAATTGCCCTCTAGTGCCCGATGAGTACGACTTAAGATGCTTGCAGCGACAATGAACTGCGGGCCACTGTTCGGAGGTAGTTAGGCCCCTTTGGTGGCAGCCGGCCATATGAAACAAAGTAATGGGCTGCATCGGCCATAGGTTCCTCACCCCTGCTTTTAGAGCAATTTCCGGAGTGATTGCGGCAAATATAGGACAGACGTAGAGAGACGCGGCTCCTTGTCGGCCCATTGTGTTTTGTTTTATGACCGATTACTACTGCCGTCCATTTGGTCCTCATCTGAAGAGGGGAGACCCCTTGGCTCTGGCCAGCCGGCCTCCGCGAGCTCGGCATAGACCGTAGGATTGTCCGACTCTTGTCGGCTCTGGCCTGGATGTGAACGCGACTCATCCAGCTTGCGTGTCGTCGTGTTGCGTGACGTCGCGCTGGATCGTTCGGCTGCACGCGAGAGAGTGGAGGGTGCCACCGTTAAATTGTCACCCCCCCCCCCCCCCAGGCGAGAGATACGCCTGATTAATTATGAAATAACTCGCCGATTAAAATAGATTCATATGCTCACAGCACACACTTAAAATCGCACATCTCAGAATTGATTGTTTACAATTTATGAGAATTATATACTCATATCGGCGTGTGGTAACTGAAACAACGAGACGAAAGATATGAGGTAGACTATTAACAGAACAACGGTAAGAATGGGACAAAGAAGAATTGATTCTTTACTTGAACCGTGACCGTATTCATCGGATCACCACGGACGTGAATTGTCACATGTCCGTCACTCGGTGTTGAGCCGTGTGGTGATGAGACCAGGTGAGTAAGCTGTGCGATTTATTGCGGAATTGTGGGACTTAGGCGAGGGGGGCTTATTGATATATATTTTTTTTACCAGCGAGCCAAGGTAATGACAGGTGATTTGAGGTGCGTGTTGCTATGGGGGCCCATGTTGAGTTAACAAATCGTTGGGGTGCGAAGCTGCCCCCTGTGACCTATGGTCTCGCAGCCATGACATGCAAGCCTGCTGATTATAGTTGACACGTAGCACACCCTTAATATGGTTGATAGGGTTTTTATGGTTTAGACACTTTCCTCCACGATGGCAGGGCAATAATTGGCATGGCCCCTCGTGGCAAGGAATTAAATGCCCCTCCCCCCCCCCCATTATCCAATTCGCCCTCTTTATTTGTAGCATGGCAAAACGGCCCTCCTGGTTCGCAGGCACTGGTGCAGTTGTAACACCTGGACACTCGGTAGCTTCGCCATTGATGGTCACCCCACTTATGAACACGGCGGTTTGGATGTGGGCCACACGGTTGGACGGATAGCTGGAGCATAACACTCGTCGGCTTTGGGGGTAGCTGATCAGTGGCAGTTCAGGCAAAGTACTGTAAGGATTGCGTCTGTGCTGTATGTGTTTGTGTGCATTGGGGTGGGAAGTACAATGTGGTAGCGCACTGCGCTACGAACCCGATGACATGTTTAATTGCCAGCTGTGGCTAACGGTGACAAGTGTATCATGCAGTCCTGGTCCTCCCCTAGATAGACTCGGCCTTAAATGAGTACAGTACCTAGTTCTGTGTGTAAACATAAACACTGGGGAGACAGAAACTGTCAATCATGGGGCTGCCCACACTACTTCCTCGTGTGCCGAGGTTACCTTAATAGGTGATCACTCACAGCGCTTACCCCAATAGCCGATAAGGCTATGCGGGGGTATTTTGTGTGTGTGAGCAGGTTTGCTTGCGAGTTAATGGCATGTTACAAAAGAATGAGTGATGTGTGGGTGTGTGTGCCCTTTGGTTATCTGTATGAACGTGCCTTGTCATTGTACGTGTGGAACTTTCGCACCTCCGATTAGCACGGTTGGCTACGCAGAAGTTGTACGTACATAGACACAACTTGTTGAAGCCGATGCATCTCCCAGTAATCCCAGGTATAACCCATAACATCTGGTTCCGTCCCATCGCCTGCCACCTAACCTGGCGCGGAACTGCTGTGGTGGTGCCACTCGGTGGCGAATGGTGGCCGTTGTACATGCATGTGGTACACTCTCCTCATAACATCTGGTTCCGACCTATCACCTGCACCTAACCTGGCACACAGCTGCTGTGGTGATGCCACCCGGGGGCGAATGGTGGCTGTTGGAGATGCATGTGGCGCGCGCTTCACCTGGAATGCGTCGGATCTCAGAAGCTCGGCAGGTTTGCGCCCGGACACCGCTGCTTGTGTCGAAGACCACCGCGCACAAATCGGGTGTCATGGGGCTCGCGGGTCGGTGCTTGGCGGTAAAAGAGCGCAGTGCTTCCGTTCTTCCACTCGCCAATCCTCCCGGCCTTGTCCGACCACTGCCCAGCACGGTCAAGTATTGTCCAGTGATGCCCACGACCCACACAGGTGCGGTGGAGGCCCTCATCCAAAAGCGGATTGATAACAAGGGCTCTTTATGGTATGTATATACTAATGTATGAATGTGCATCTGTGAAGGTCTGTGACGATGGGCCAGTCAAAAGTTCGCAGAATTATTACATTCACAACGATATCAATCCTCATGCCGTGCGGCTCGGCGGCGGCAGGGTGATCGGCTCGCGCTGTCAGAAGGTTGCGAGTTCAACTCTTGACTCTTGTTTGGTTGACTCAGCCGCACGGCGTATTGGCAGCCACTTCCACCCGCCGGATCGTCGTGCATCACACGGCACCCCGCGGTCTCGCTGCGCTGTGCTGGTGGAACGCGGCGAGAGTGTGCGTGTGGGAGTAGGGGCGTTTTCACCGGTTTAGCGCAAAAAAACATTTATAAAAGTAGCCGCTGTTTCTCCACGACTTACTTGCACGCTACCCAAGCTCGTAATAGACATGCCCTCCTCGTGCGATGCCCCCCCCCCCTGCCGAAGTCATGCGCCCACAGCAGCTGGCATGGGATGGATGGAGCAAGGAATTAAATGTGGGGGGGGGGGGAGCGGTGCTAATTTCCATTCCTCTTCGTAGCCCAGCGTCTCGGCCCCCTTGGTGCAGTTGCACCGCCTGCACGCGCCATAGCCGGCCCACACCCCCGATTAGCACGGTTGGTTACGTACGGTGCGAAAGAAGTTCAACATGCATACACAGCGGTGTCTCGAAGCAAATTCTGTATTCATCACCCCCCGTCGAGTTGTGATGAAATAATTCCGCAAACATTTTTACGCGATTTTGTGTATGTGTGTGTGTATACGTGTGTGCTTGTATAGACGTGTTTCTATGAATCTGTGTATGAACTATGACTGCAGTTCGTGTGATTTGATGAGATGCATAAAAATGCAGCCAATACAATACCATTTATTTCAAGCTGATGGGAGTGTGCACTACTTAAAGAAATTTAAAATAAAATTAAACAAACGTCCTTGTGTGGTTGAATCAATGCTGCTGAAACAATAAGAACTACTTCAATACGGTATATTTTACGTGGAGTGATTTGGACGGTGAAGGTGACGTCTGCTTATTTACCACGTCGTAGCAGGTATGATGCGAAAGAAACGTTATACTTTGAGTTAATAAAGTATGATATCTTAACACCTGTTGTATTGCCAAAAAGGGTAAAACCTTTTCATACTTTTGATACTGGCTAAAAGGTTTCATGATTTATGAGTTTTTTTTAAAGCACCCCAACCACGCTCTCATCTGCCTATTTAACTGATTATTTTGATCCCGATCCGCCTTCAATGACTGCCGTGGATGCCACACGCTGCAGGACAAACGCTAACTACAGCACCGTCGATTTAATTTGAATGTGTCTCCACATTCAAATTAAACACTCTGCGAAAACCCACGTGTGTGTGTAAATGTCATGGGATGTGGAACCCAGGCGAGCTCCGTGTCTAACTCACCCACATTACCTACACAGGTGTGGGTTAGGGCTTCATCCAGCAGTGGATATTTATACCCTGTGGATTGTGCCTTGTTCTCAACAGAACACATTGAGTTGAAGCTTTCGTGACTGCAGGAATCCATACTCTTTGGCTCCTTCGGTAAAGTCACGTAGTTACAAAATAAAATAAATCACGACGTTTCGGGCGCAACCCTTACCGAAAGACCCAAAGACTACAGCAGGGGTCGGGAACCTATGGCTCGCGAGCCAGATGTGGCTCTTTTGATGATTGCATATGGCTCGCAGATAAAACAAAATATTCTCACTTGTTTTAATCCATCCATCGATTTTTCACTGCGCATGTCCTGTTCAGGGCTGCAGGAGCAATTGTCCATTATTTTAATTGGATGATACTGGCCTACGTTTGCCGTTGCTGGGTAAAACAGGTAAACGCCCCCTTTTGAATCAGTCTGAGACTGCGTCTGCTCGGTCATTAGCTCAAAGCTAACCCTTCGACGAAGAAGATGGCGAAAAGAAAAAAAGACGACGAGTATCGTACATTTCAGGACGAATGGACCGAAGAATTCGCCTTTGTGGAGAGAGCGGGTTCTGCGGTGTGTCTAATTTGCAATGACAAAATTACATCGTTGAAACGGTCGAATGTAAAGCGGCACTTCGACACGCGCCACGCTACCTTTGCATCAAAATACCCTGCGGGAGACAGCAGAAAGAAAGCGTGCCAAGAGCTTCTGAGCAGGGTGCAAGCTAGCCAGCAGCAACTCCGCGTATGGACCCGGCAAGGTGACTATAATTCGGCTAGCTTTGCTGGTTCTTTAGCAATAGTGAGGAACGGAAAACCATTCACAGATGGCGAGTATGCTAAAACGTTCATGCTGGATGTAGCCAATGAACTTTTTGATGATCTTCCGAACAAAGACAAGATAATCAAACGGATACAAGACATGCCTCTGTCGGCAAGAACTGTTCATGATCGTACCATCGTGATGGCAAACAAAGTGGAGGAAACGCAAGTGAAGGACATAAATGCAGCGCCGTTCTTTTCTCTGGCTTTGGATGAGTCAACAGACGTGAGCCATTTGTCGCAGTTCAGCGTGATTGCAAGATATGCTGTTGGTGACACACTGCGCGAAGAAAGTCTTGCTGTTCTGCCATTAAAAGGGTCCACAAGAGGTGAGGATTTATTCAAGTCTTTCATGGAGTTTGCTCAAGAAAAAAGTCTACCTATGGATAAACTTCTCTCAGTGTGTACTGATGGTGCTCCGTGTATGGTGGGGAAAAACAAAGCATTTGTGGCGCTTCTCCGTGAACATGAAAATAGACCCATCCTAAGTTTCCATTGCATTATACACCAGGAGGCACTTTGTGCTCAGATGTGTGACAGGCAGTTTGGCGAAGTGATGTCGCTGGTCATTCGTGTGATCAACTTTATTGTTGCCCGAGCCTTAAATGATCGCCAGTTTAAAACACTGCTGGATGAAGTTGTAAATAACTATCCTGGTCTGCTTTTGCACAGCAATGTGCGTTGGTTGTCAAGAGGGAAGGTGCTTAGCCGTTTTGCGGCTTGCCTGAACGAAATCCGGACTTTCCTTGACATGAAAGGCGTCGGGCATCCTGAGCTAGCCGACACCGAGTGGCTCCTCAAGTTTTACTATCTCGTAGATCTGACTGAACATCTGAACCAGCTCAACGTGAAAATGCAAGGCATTGGAAATACAGTGTTATCCCTTCAACAAGCTGTATTTGCTTTTGAAAACAAGCTGGAGCTTTTCATCACGGATCTTGAAACAGGTCGTTTACTACATTTTGAAAAACTGAGCCAATTTAAAGATGCATGCACAGCAAGTGAGCCCATTCAAAACCTTGATCTCCACCAGCTAGCTGGCTGCACATCCAGTCTCCTACAGTCCTTCAAAGCACGCTTTGGAGAATTTCGTGAGCACACTCGTCTTTTTAAGTTCATCACCCATCCAAACGAGTGTTCACTGAACACAGCCGACCTGAATTACATCCCTGGTGTCTCCGTCAGAGATTTTGAAGCAGAAGTGGCTGACCTGAAGGCCTCAGACATGTGGGTGAATAAGTTCAAGTCACTGAATGAAGATTTGGAAAGAATCACACGACAGAAAGCGGAGTTGGCGAGCAAGCACATGTGGACAGAAATGAAAAAACTCCAACCCGAAGACCAGCTGATTCTCAAAACTTGGAACGCGCTTCCTGTCACATACCACACACCGCAGCGTGTGAGTATTGCTGTATTGACCATGTTTGGATCTACGTATGCATGTGAGCAGTCATTCTCACATCTTAAAAACATCAAGTCCAACCTACGATCACGTTTAACGGATGAAAGCCTCAACGCTTGCATGAAGCTTAACCTCACCAAGTACCAACCCGACTACAAAGACATCAGCAAATCCATGCAGCACCAGAAGTCGCATTAATGGTGAGTGTTATAACAACATTATTTAAAAGAATAAATTCAGAGGCTTATTATACTGACATTTAGTTGAATTCACTTTTAAAATATATTATATGGCTCTCACTGAAATAAATTTCCAATTTTTTTGCTTTCATGGCTCTCTTAGTCAAAAAGGTTCCCGACCCCTGGACTACAGACACGTGGCCACGGTGCAATGTGGGAGAAGGGGGGGAAGAAGAGGACATGACGCAATAGCACGGCAAATGACGTCATCGGATGAGCTTTTTTTAAATGACGTCATCTGATATTCGATACCACGTGGTGGTGGGTGAGTTCCTTAGGTTTCTTTCTCGCGTGGCTTCCGCAGCGCTGGGCCCAGGCCGTGTTTGGCGATCTTAAACTGTGAGGTTTTTGTTCGAGAAATAAAAAGAAATCCGCGCGAAGTAGCCGGCCACCTCCCGTTCGAACGGAGCCGCCGCCGCCGCCGCGATGTCGAGCTACAAGAAAGCGATGAAGTCCAATCAGCGGGAGCACCGCGAGCGGTCTCAGGTGAGCAGGGGGACGGCTCGCGACGCGGGTCGCTCGGTCAGCCTCTCGTGTGGCCGTGGCGACCACCAGGACCCCCCTAGCACACTACTCACTAAGCACCAGGACCCCCCTAGCTCACTACTCACTAAGCACCAGGACCCCCCTAGCACACTACTCACTAAGCACCAGGACCCCCCTAGCTCACTACTCACTAAGCACCAGGACCCCCCTAGCACACTACTCACTAAGCACCAGGACCCCCCTAGCTCACTACTCACTAAGCACCAGGACCCCCTAGCTCACTACTCACTAAGCACCAGGACCCCCCTAGCACACTACTCACTAAGCACCAGGACCCCCCTAGCTCACTACTCACTAAGCACCAGGACCCCCCTAGCACACTACTCACTAAGCACCAGGACCCCCCTAGCTCACTACTCACTAAGCACCAGGACCCCCTAGCTCGCTACTCACTAAGCACCAGGACCCCCCTAGCTCGCTACTCACTAAGCACCAGGACCCCCCTAGCTCACTACTCACTAAGCACCAGGACCCCCCTAGCTCACTACTCACTAAGCACCAGGACCCCTCTATCTTTCTACCCTAGACCCTACACACAGCTCCTTACACTGGACCCCAACACACTCAACATGCTGGTCAAATTGTTAGTGCGCACCATTTATTACGCTGCGCTACTAACCCGGCGACCCGAGTTCGATTCACGCTCGCGGCCAACACCAGTGACGATTATCTGAACCGGTCCTGGGCCTCCCCTAGGTCGACTCGGCCTCAAATGAGTACCTGAAGCGGTGTGTAGTAAACAGCGCCACTGGGGAGACAAAGGCGGCCGGGCGTGGTGCTGGCCACCCACCTCGTGTACCGTGCCGGCCTTCATAGGTGCTCGCTAACAGCAATTGCCCGAAACGTCTGTTAAGGCTACACGGGTGATCTTTGTCTTTGTTCTGCAGCCTACGGCTCGCCGGGGGCTGGGCCTGTTGGAGAAAAAGAAGGATTACAAGCTGCGGGCTCAGTGAGTGACCCACCGGGCCTTCGCTCTCGCTCACCCCCCCCCTCATCACTCTCACCCACGCGCTGTGCTCTCCTCCCCACCACACGCTCACCCACACTGTCTGCTGTCCCATGCACGCTCCCCCACGCTTACCGACTCTGTGTGCTCTCTCCCTCACGCTCACCACACTGTGTTCACTCCCCCACACTCACCCCCGCTCGGTGCTCTCTCCCCCACCCCACGCACGTCCACACCCACACTCTGTGCTCTCTCACCCACGCACGTCCACACTCACCCACACTCTGTGCTCTCTCACCCACGCACGTCCACACTCACCCACACTCTGTGCTCTCTCACCCACGCACGTCCACACTCACCCACACTCTGTGCTGTCTCACCCACACTCACCCGCACTCACCCACACTCTGTGCTCACTCCCCCACACTCACCCGCACTCACTCACCCGCACTCACCCGCACTCACCCACACTCTGTGCTCACTCCCCCACACTCACCCGCACTCACTCAGCCGCACTCACTCACCCACACTCACTCACCCACGCTCTGTGCTCTCTCACCCACGCTCATCCGCACTCACCCACACTCTGTGCTCTCTCACCCACGCACGTCCACACTCACCCACACTCTGTGCTGTCTCACCCACACTCACCCGCACTCACCCACACTCTGTGCTCACTCCCCCACACTCACCCGCACTCACTCACCCGCACTCACTCACCCACACTCTGTGCTCACTCCCCCACACTCACCCGCACTCACTCAGCCGCACTCACTCACCCACACTCACTCACCCACGCTCTGTGCTCTCTCACCCACGCTCGTCCGCACTCACCCACACTCTGTGCTCACTCCCCCACACTCACCCGCACTCACTCACCCACGCTCCGTGCTCTTTTGTTCCCCTCCTGAACCGCAGAAACTGGCACCGCAAGCAGGACTTCCTGAAGGGGCTGCGTCGGAAGGCGCTCGACAAAAACCCCGATGAGTTCTACTTCAAGATGACGAGCACCAAGCTCAAGGTGCCTGCCTACCTGCGTGTGTGTGCGTGTGTGTGCGCACGTACACGTGTGTGTGTGTGTATGTGCACGTGCACTGTGAAGCGGTGGCACTGTGGTTAGTACACTGCTGTACAAAGCCGGCAAACCGAGTTCTATTCCCGCTCACGGCCAATTGCAGTGGTTCAGTTCTGAAGCGGTCCTGGGCTTTCCCTAAGTCAACTCGGCGTCAATAGTACCCGGTGCAATGTGTAAACATCACCAATGGGAAGGCAAAGGCTGCCGAGCTGGGCGTCGTACTTGCCATGCCACGCCCCCAAGCGCCATGTCGGCCTCCATGGGTGCTCATTAACAGCCCTTGCCCCATGCAGTCTGTTTGGCTTTACGGTGGATCTCTGTCTTTGTGTGCCTGCAGGACGGTGTTCACTTAAAGAAGAATCCGGCCGACGAGGAGACGACACCTGACCAACTGAAGCTCATGAGGACCCGCGACCTGCGCTACGTGGAGATGAAGAGGGTAGCAGAGGCCAAGGTGAGGCACGCGGAGGCAGGGAGAGGGGGGGGGTGAGGAGAGCGCAGCTGCCCTCTCGCATCCCAGAGCGGAGAGTTCGCACCCCGGCGTCTCTCATCCGTGACGGATGCTGACCTGCGCCGCGCTGTTGTTGCGTTTCGCGCAGAAAATCGAGCGGATGAAAGGGGAGCTGCACCTGCTGAACGCCAACGGAAAGCAGCGGAATCGCCACACGTTCTACGTGGACACCAAACAGGACGGTGAGAGTCGCGTAGGGATGGTTGGGCGCGGTTGCTTAGCGAGGACTCGGCAATCGTGCTCAACGTCGCGGAAACACGACCACGTGTCTTTTTTTTTACCTAGCAAAGTTATACCAAGGACTTGGGAAAAGTGACAGAAAGGGAATTCCAAAGTACAGCAGTCTTTCGTTGGGATTAATCTCAGCAGATTAAAGATGTCATTTTAGACGTGTTGTCCACTCAATTGTCTGTTCAGAAGCACAAGTAGATCTCGTTCCATTGCTCCTTTAAAGGAGTGAAAGCAGCAGCGGCGGAGTGTTTACGATGCGGTTGATGGTTTGGGATTCGTGGCCGTGCCAATCGCAGGTTGCCGAGTCTTTGATGGCGCCATTTGTGGCATCGGGTGGTCGCATCGACCACGTGGCCAGCTCCTGATTCGGTTGATGGTCGACCATTGGTGGCGTGGAAGGTTGAAACCGGGAGGTTTGACGGTAGGGTCCTGTATGAGATGATTATATTTTTACGTCGGCCGCAGGGAGGAAGCGGAAAGAGGCGTTTTGTGACCTGCAAGTGTCATGGTTGAGTTTGTGAATGAGGTAGGCGAGTGTTCGAGTGTGCTTACTGTGAACACCATATGTATGTGGTGAAACGGTCAGTTTGGTAAATCGGGCCGCCAACATGGGTGGAGGAATCATTGAGTGGAGTTCATGGGAACAGTTAAGCATGATTAAATACCTGGTGATTGAGTCACTTCGGTTGTTGTTTTTGGAGTAAATAAGTGAGTGCTGGATCAACACTCACTGATTTATGTTGAATTCTATCAGGTGCAGGGAGATTGGAACCAGGGCACTCCACCCCAAATACGACACCTCCTAGCATACTGCTGAGCATTGTGGCGCATACCTATGACCCAGCCACCTTTGTCTTCCCAATGCGTGCACACACGGAGGCACGCGGAAGTTGCGGCCTGTATCCACTCCTCGGTCTTGTCAGAGATGTGGACGCCGTCGCTGCGAATCCCAAAGCGGGATGCTTTGTGCCCGTCTGTCTCGACAGTGGAACAATTCAATCTGGCCGAGCGGCTTCAGACGGCGCCGGAGCTGGTGCGGTGCGTGTACAACCGGCCCAGGCTGGACACCCTGCGCACCGCCACCCTGCAGGGAGTCACCGACAAAAATACCATCAAGGTACAGCATTGGCGTGGGGGGGGGGGCACCAACGAACACTTGAGCCCCTGTGGTCCCCCCCTCCCCCCACCTTGTGCACGTCGCGTGTGACCACGATGGACCTGCTTGCTTGGTTTCACCGCGGTCTCACCGAGGTTATTCACGGCACCGTAAGAAAGATGTCGTCTGAAAGATGAACACAGTTTTCAATATCTATTTTATGATTATTATTATTTCAGGTAAGGCCCACTGAGATCGATGACATCTCCATAATAGTTTCTTAAATCGCTTCAATCGGCCTCTTGATCCACACTCGGGTCACATTTCACATGCCCTGCAAATTCGTTTTCACCGCTCGTCAGTCAAATGTTTAATTCCAAAAGATGTAATACGTTGAACTAAGTGTTTATTTTTTATTTTTTTAAAGTTTGTTGTGTGTGCCTTTCATTGGTGACAGGGTTCAGGCCATAAACTCGCAAACGCTTGAGAGAGTCCAATTGAATAATAATCGTTTTTTTGTTTCTTCCTTCGTGCCGTGCCAACGTGTGAACGCAGAATCTGGCCCGCCAGCGCGCCCGTGAGTACCGCAACCTGGAGAGGAGGATCGTGCGCGAGTCCACGCTGTTCGTCACCCAGCAGAAGATCCAGACGAGGATGGACCTCATGGTAATGCAGTCTCCCACAGCACGAGACAACTCCATACTGTGCATTTAAGATTTGCATTCAGCTCTACATTATCCCGCGTAATGGGAGGCCAGGGATGGCCCAAATGAAAAAGAACACACAATGCAAAGCATAGTATAAATTAGGCTATAAAGCAATAAATGTTTGGTGACTGATTGTAAAAAAAAACTTTTTAATTCTCAGAACTGGAACTTAGTCAAATTAAATGCACAATGAAATATATATATTTTTTACACGGTCATTGATGACCGGGCTGAGACCATCAACTCCGCTTTGCTTGAGAACCCCCCGTTAAGTCACTAGCGGCTAAAAAAAACCCGGACTCGAAGCCAGGAGCTCAGTGGGTTGCCGGCTCGGCGCTCTTACCTCTGAGCTACCCGGCCACCTCTCAAGACCAGCGCCCGACACGAACGGCACGTCGGCGATCGCTCCGCCTGAAGCCCGCTCTCGGAGAATTGCTGGCGCTCACCGTCGGTGCCGCGTGTCTTTGCTCTTCCAGGACAAGCGGCAGAAAATCAAGGTGAAGGCTGAGACCAAGACGTCCGCGGCCGTGTACTGCTTCAAGACCGAGCGCAAGCGCTGACATCGCGAGTGCGGTTTGCTCGGTCGCAGCCGTCTGTCGGCTGCGAGCCACGACCCCGGCCGTGTAGCCACGACCCCGGCCGTGTAGCCGCAACCCCGGCTGTGTAGCCGCGACCATGTTTAAACTGGGGGGGGGGGCGGGAGGGGTTGCATAACACAGTCAATGTTAGATAAACCTTAAATAAATGTTCGATGCTATGATCTGCTTTTGTCCATCGTGTATTCTTTTCTTACTCTCTCACCCCCCTGTCGTATTTAGCCCTTGAACTGTTGGCCCAAAAAAACGGCTTATTGCTACCAATTAGGGTGGCAACTGCTAACAATTATTTTTTTATGACGCAATTTATCTCCGCCTCCCAAATTTATAAGTGTAATGACGACTTCGACGCACTTGTCTTGAGATGTTTTCTTTATTTAAGGAGCCACGTGCTCACACGAGAACAGGCGGAGACCCCCACTGCAACAGCCCCGAGTCTCCCAAGCGTCTCCCTTAAATACGATCCGAGGCCACGTCCCCATTCCCAAACCACGCTCCTCGATCATTCGTACTGCAGGCTCACTCTCCTGTCATTACCTCCCGTGGCCACTGGTCCGCTCACACCAGAGGTGGACTCTACTGTCATTATAATGGCATGGTCACTGTAATTTCATGTGGATACTTCCAATGGCGGATACTCGTAGAATGTTTCCTCCCCCGGTGGTACCGACAAATGCGCTTGGCTCATGGGCTATCGTGTATGTGAGGAAAGGCTGTGTGTGACACATTGCTCAACTATTGCAGACATCACACAAAGTTTGCAAGTTAAAAGTATTACCGCAACAGATCAGTCTGTGTGTGCGAGCAGTTGTTAGCACCGCTGCAAAGAGTTCATTGAACTACGTAATAATGTGTTCAACATACATTTTATTGGTAAAACCACCCTGGTATGCCATCCGCACTATAAGTAGAGGCTGCCTTCCCGTGGAATTTGGATAGGGGGGTTACGAATGTATCAAATATTCAACAAAACTTATATGAATTGACTATAACATTTTCTTTTTTAAATATGCGCTCATTGATGACGGGGCTGAGACCATCAAATCGCTTACACTTGAGAACCCCGGTTTAATTACTGGCGGCTGAAAACCTGGGTTGGAACCCAGGGACCATCTGCTGTTTCGGCTCGACGCTCTGACCTGTCGAGCCACGCGGCTCCCCGAGGGACGGTCGCCTGAAACGACGAACTGCACAACTGGCCGCTCGCGGACACTGGAGCTCACCGTCGGTGCAACCACGACTTTCACCGCAAACCAAGCCTGCTTGGTCATCACAACTGTCGCACCGAGGCAGCCCGTGCAGGGGATTTGTGGCAGGTGCTGGTGATGCTCCATTTTACCGATCCACCGCGTTTCTCCACAACCCCCACCCCATCTCTACTGATTTGTCGAAAGCGTGTGCCGTGCTGTTGATGAACACATGCAGCATTGCCACAGTTACCTTTAAATATTCAGATTCTGTTTGGTCCCAAACATTGTATCAGCCGAGCTTGTGTGTTTTCTCATTTGTTGAGCCGGAGAATAATTTCAGCCAAGTCTGGGTTAGCAAACCAGATAATATATCCACGCCCAGAAACGCCACGTCCAGCGTGCCTCTTGCTATGGATTGTGGCGACTACGAGTCACGTGCGAACAACTGCAGTCTACCCGGAAAATGATGCGCTGGTTGTTATAATGCAAGCAGTTCGATCGGAAAACACAATCGTGCTTTAATTTTATATAGCAACTAGCTTTACCCGGCTTCGCCCGAGACTTGGATTCACCACGCCCGGCCGCCTTTGTCCCCCCAGTGGCGATGTTGACACACCACACCAGTTACTCGTTTGAGGCTGAATCGACCTAGGGGAGTCCCAGGACCGGTTACAATAATCGTCACCGGTGGTGGCCGTGAGCGGGAATCGAACTCGGGTCGCCGGGTTCGTAGCGCGGCGCGCTAACCACTACACTACAATGCGTTGCGCTTCCACATGTGCGGTCACGTGACAGATTTGACGTCACAGTTCACTTGCCGTGTAAAAAAATGCATTATTAAGCCCCCCCCCCCCCCAAAAAAAACCACAAAAGTGTATTTTTATAATTGTTGCATGGTGTACAGTCTGGAAAGTACCCCCATAGCAAATGTCAAGTTTGTTACATGTCGGGAAGTACGCTAAACATTTTGAACAGACACACATTCACAACTTTGCCTTTTATATATATGGAGATATTCATGCCACCAGCATCCCAAAACGCTGTACATTAATTATATACAAGGACCAAATTTCATATACGCGAGGTTGGTCACGCATGGCGCGAAAGAAGCCCAACACATGCAAATGAAAACCTACTGCCAAGCAAAATCCAAACGAATAAACGAATTGAGAAACGGCATCAAAACAAAAACGCCACGAGAGAGGATGGCGATGAGGAGGGACGATAGGAGGGAAGACTACAATTGAGTTGGTTTCAAATGAGTGATTTTTGTATTATTACTTTTATTTAACTTGCGTTCTGTTTATATTCTTTCAAATCGTTGATGCTTAATATCTTCTGATCTACGAGGCCGAACTGAAATATTGTACACAACAGACTCGTAGTCGTCTCGCGTGACAATTCAATATTTCATTTAAAGATCTGGTTCAGGTCCTGCCGATTTTGGGCCTCATGTTTTTTTAAACTTAATTTTGTATTGTACTATTTCAAATTTACTACTATAATGAGCCAAGGATGTCTGTGTCCCGCGCGTGACGTCACTTCACGTCGGCCAGGCCCCCTCATTAATAATCATGAGCAGGTGACGTCACTCCACATCGAACAGCCCCCCTCATTAATAATCATGAAGAGGTGACGTCTTCCAAATGGACACCCTTTCATTCATAATAATTAGCGGGTGACGTCACTCCACATGGGGGGGCGAGGCGCCTCCCCCCCCCTCACTACGAAGTCAGAACCACCGGTGTGTTGAAGAGTGAATCCACAAGTCGTGAACTATTTTGTATTTTGTCAACATGACACTTTTTTGCTGATTGGCAGTGTCGGGTGGTGGAGGGTTACGACACATTTATAAATAACGCGATCTCACCCAAAAACGTTTATTATGAATAATATTTTCCTGCTATAAATTGCCACGTGATAAGCCACTTCGTTGCCCTATCGTTTGTGATAGCCAGGTGGCTTTTGAAAAAGCTCATAGCTCAGTGGGCTTTAACTGGTAAGATACAAAAACAATAGTTTAGTTTTATTTGTATATATATGAAAGTTATTTGCTTAGCTTTCTTATACAGTATATTGCATTCCTATCGTGTTGTATTGTTTGTTGGAATGTTCTGACCCCTTACACCTATTGGACATCTATAAAACAAGTGCTTTATAGCTCATCGGATTTCTCCCAGTATAATTATTACGATTCTGATAATTGAAAAAGAGCTTTATAGCTCCTCGGATTCCTCCGATTGGTAAATGAAAAATAGCTTTATAGATCCTCGGATTTCTCCCAGTATGATTCCGATAATTTAAAAAGAGCTTTATAGATCTTCTTTGGTTCTTTCGGTAAAGTCACGTAGAATGAGAATAAAATAATAAATTAATAAAATAAAATAACAATAAAATTATCACGACGTTTCGTCGTGTTATTTTATTTTATTATTTTATTCTCATTCTACGTGACTTTACCGAAAGAACCAAAGAAGATGAATCCTTGCAGTCACGAAAGCTTTAAATCGAAGCTTTATAGATCCTCGGATTTCTCCCAGTATAATTATTCCGATGCCGATCGTTGAAAAAGTGCTTTATAGATCCTTGGATTCCTCCGAGTATAATTATTCCGATTCTGATAATTGAAAAAGAGCTTTATAGCTCCTCGGATTTCTTCCACCAGTACAATTGTTCCGATCATCCACCAAGCGTGATGTTATTCCGGACGTGACGTCGCGCACGTGGCCTCTCGCGCCGCGCGCGGGAAACCTCCGCTTCCGGGTGAGTCTCGCCGCGGGTCTCCTCACCCCGGGTGGGCGAGAGCTCAACAACTCAGACCACCCCCGCGTTGCCGCGTGAGGGGAAACCTCACCAACCAACACCACCACCCCTTCCTCCTGTGAGGTGAGCTCTCAAATCTCGCGCTCGCACGCACGCGCGAGGGGAGACAACTTACTTGTTGAGGCGGTTTCGCGGGCCGAGCGCTAACAAACAAAAAAAACCTGCGGTTCCAGCCGTTTGCGATTCTCCTCCGCTGACGGGCAAACAACGGTGACGATTTATCTCTCGTAAGCGTCCCCGGGCCTTCCCCCGTTAGGTCGACTCGCCCTCAAGTGAGTACCTGGGTGCGTAGTGTGTCAAACGTCGCCACTGGGGGAGGGGAGACAAAGGCGGCCGGGCGTGCTGCCGGCCACCGTCACCCGCTTCGCGTTTACCGTTGCCGGCCTTCAGAGAGGTTGCTGCTGCTCGCTCACAGCACTTGCAACCAACAGTCTGTTACAGGCTACGCGGGGGATCTTCGCCTTTGTAAAACTCACCACTCCTCCTGTGAGGCGAGGGCTCGCGACTTGCTGTGCGGCGTCGGGGACGCCCGCTCTGTCGCTTTCGTAAAGTCGCCGTTTTGAATGCCACTTGTAATATACCGCTTTAACCGTGCCGCCTGGTACAGTGCTGTGAATATTTGCTACCTACAGAGTAGCGAGTTAAGATGTGCTAGTTCGAATGCATCGCTTGAAGTGGTGTACTCCGTGAGGTCCATTTTTTATGTAAAGTACTGCTCAATTAACGCATTTGGCTTAAGCGCCACTTAGTCTATTAACGTCACATCTGACGTTATTTATGTTGTAGAAGCGAGCGTTATTTATGCTACAATACTGCATTCTTTCACGTCCTCTGCTTTAACATACTCGCCTATATTGGGTGACCCTGATAACAGGCCGCGTAACATACTGTACAGTGTACAGTACGGTGGCACGTCCAGCGTTTCGTTTATGCTCCACACCTGTTGGGCCACGCGATTTAGTAGCGAGTACCTATGTAGACACACGAGTCAGTGATGTAACCAGCGCCACGCCCGGCCGCCTTTGTCTCCCCATGGACTGATGCTTGACACGCCGCAGAAAAAGTACTAATTTTCAGCCCACGTCGACCTAGGGGAGAGCACAGGACCGGTTCACGTGTTTGCCACTGTTGCTGGTCGTGAGCGGGACTCA